GTGATAGAAGGGTTTAATTTGGTGACACTCCCATGAAAATTATAGTAAAACTTTGATGAAGATGGTTTACTTTGCTTACTTAATTTCATTTTTACTCGTGATGTGGCATTTCTAACACAATATAAGCATACTGTAGTATAGATTTCAATTCCTAGGGCCAAGTGGAAAGTGCTCTCTCTGCATTATAAAGTTGACTATAAAAATTAAATTAGTAACTTAACATCATAATCTAATATGCAGAATTGTTTTATACATCAGTGAAAATTCTTGAGAAGCATTTGGTGAAAATTAAAAATTAAATGTTTCATTTAGATCAAAGAGAAAATAGGCAAAACCCATACAATACAAACAAACAGGTACTTTTATATTTGAGTCACACAAATTAACTACATGCTATGGTGTGTCTCACACAGGGATACCAGAACTGTTGATTTTGATTTTAGTTAAAAACAAAGCATGCATATGGATACTGTATTAATAAGCATTCTGGTAATGATGGTGAACAGAGTCTAAACTAAAGAGACTACTATATCTGTGTTTATAATATCAGATCTATAATTCAGAGACTAGTACGCATTAAACAAACCATCACCCACCCTTCCAGCAAATAGACTCCTTACTGTCTATCTGTGTTTCTAGCTTCTTGTTTTTCTTCTTTGGAGTTCTGTGAGGACTCTCCGGTAACATTGCCAAGGGCTGAGTCAGGATCATTTTTCAGTGTATTTATTATATCAGTAGATCCAAAAGGAAGAGCTTGTGACTTCAGAGAAATATTTTCAGTCTCATCTTTGGGCATTTCACTCAGTTCTTCCTTTTCATCTATCTCTTCAAGGCTATGATCAGAGCTTATTCCAGCTACAAAGAAATGAAGATATAATCCTAACTATTAATTTGCCTCATTCATCCTATGCAATCCCAGCAAGAAAGGAATTTTAAAAATAATAGTTAGCTGGATTTTAATTGCTCACCCAAAACTAATAAGAAAACAATCCTCTAATGATGAGTAATCACATTAACATATAGTCAAATTATCTCGGACATATACAATTCTAAAAATAGTATGCTATCATGCTAGGTTTTATTCATGGTAGAGAGAAAAGTTATTTAAACTCATAATCTTCAAGTTACATGTCTCAGTCTGAGAGATAGCTATGTATCTTTGAATTTAAATGATTTTACATTCATACAATAGCTCTAAATATTAATTAAAAGAACATGAGATTTTAAAATTTTATATCTATACAAGTATACTTATAAAATCTGACTCAGAAGTTATCAGAACTACAATGGAGAACTATCTGAGCCCCTTTTAGAAATACCAGTGTTCTCACCCTCTCCACACCTGTTAAATCATAATCTCGGAAGGGTGGCACCAGGAATTTTTAAGGCTCCTAAGGTGATTCTAATACAAAACCAGAATTAAAAGCCATTTAGACACTTAATATACTTTTTGAAAATATGAATAAGTATCATACAATGAAAATTATTCCCACTCAGTTTCTCAGAGGCAACTTCCTTTAACAGGTTTTTCCTACATATTATCAGAAAGTATAATGAACATACAAGCAGATACGCATACTCATGCTTCCTTTTTTTTTTATGGATCCATTTAATATAAATGGAAGCATACTATAGCTGATGTTTTTCACCTTCTGTTTCTCCACTTAACTATGGCTGAAAAAATCATCCTGTATCAGTGTGTGTGTGTGTGTGTGTGTGTGTGAAAGAGTGATTCTCTTCAAAAGCTGCAGTTAATATTTCATTGTATAAGAATGAGTTTTGTCATTGTTCCTTTAGTACCAACAACAAATGTCCAACAGATTAAAAGAGGAGACATCCTAATTGGTATCCACACTAGCTGTGAAATTTAATTTAAACCAAAGAATGAGTCTCTGAATCTTTGCTTATTTAAGTATAATTTAACACTGCCATTTACACAATAGCAGCTGAACAAAATTTAATTTTACCACAATGGGGGAGGGGGATGGTGTAGCATTAGAATATAGTGATCAGCACATCCACAAAATTTAATAAAAACTTCAATGTACTTGAAGAATATTTAAAGTAATGTATGTCTTTAATTTTATCTCTAGGCAGAAAAGTATGCTATTTATGCTATTTAACAAACAAATATGGAGACTTTTATTGACAGTTTCATTGTGAGTAAAAAAAAGGAGATTACTCAACAGGAAAAATATTAAAGAATTTGAATTTAAATGAATTTTTTTAAAATATATTTTGGCAAGTCATATTTTATTATGACATGTGAAAGCATCATTATGATACCAATGTATAATATTATGTGCCTACACTAGCATATCATGTTTGTGCAGTAAGAGTACATTTATATAATTTGAAAACTGTGTTTGAGAAAATTAACGTCTGTTCCGGTTTAGATGCAAATGTGTTTTATAAATGGCCCCTTAGCATATCTTAAGCTCCTTACAAATTAGTTTAACTGAGGAAACGCTTAGCAAGTTATTGTTATCCCTATTTCTCTCTTGCCCATCAAAGCTATTTCATATAGGCGTCCTGGGTGGCTCAGTTTAGCATCTGACTCTTGATTTCAGCTCAGGTCACGTATCTCCGGGTCCTGGGATGAGCCCTGCCTTGGGATCCACACTCAGCAATGAAACTGTCAATAAAAAAAATTATCAAACTATTTTCCAAACTGGCTGCACAATTTTGCATTACTATAAGCAGTATGTGATATTAATTTTAAATGATTTTAAATAAGGACTCATTTTGAGTTAATAAAAAATTGAATAAAATTATTTATAATGAAATGCAAGTATTACCTAACTATAAATTTTTGCCATCTGGTAACAAAATAATTCCAATAATTTAATATAAAAGTCCCAATCAAAAGCAATACTTCAGAAAGTAAGCCAGGACTAGATAACAAAAGAGTAGTCCAAGAAAGAAAAAAATTATATATTATATATATTATATATACATATATAATATATATTCTTTAATATTCATAAAATTGAACACTGAAAATAAGAGTTCAGAGTTTTGCCAAAAAAACCAGAAAGCCAAATAGAAGAAAAGCTAAAATCCTCCAGAACCACTTGTTTTATTCATCTTAGGCCTTGTCATATTCATCTGGTTAGGGAAAACATCATAACCTCCAAACCTGTAAGAGAATTTCGAGTGAAAGGAGGAAACTAATATTTCTTTGAGACCTTTTTACACAAGGGGTAACCAAGTAATGAAATTCTGACCTGGTGATAATCTTAATCTGCATTAAACCAAGCACCAGGCAGGAAAGGCCCAGCCACCTACATGTCAGAGATGTCACGGCTGTCTCCGGTGTTCCAGGGTATTCGGAGAGAGAGGGTTCATCCAGCAGTCTGGGCACCGTGCAGTGTTCGTGACTGGGGATCCCGGGGCCAAGGGAGGAGTCTGCCAAAGAAGTAAAATCTGTGGAAACGGCACTATTCAACAGAGTTAAGGCAAGCAGAGAACAAGAAGCATTTTGAAGAAATCAGATCTGTTAGCTCACAATTATCCATGTGTTAAACAAGAAGAGCTAACAAGGGGGGAAAAAAGGAAGAAAAAGAGAAATAGATACCAAGCAAAGTCTGAATAGCATTCACACCTCTTTTCTAATACTTCTGAATCTTCTCATTTCACTTATATGGTTTGATATTATTTAAATAAAATTCCTTTGTGGAACAAAAGGAATTTTTTTTTTTTTACTGTGAAGTTTTATTTGAGAACGACAACTTCAACAGTTGAACATAAATACAAATATTACTTTAGGTTTTTTAATGAGGTTGGCAAATATATATAGATGGTTGGGATCTTTTAAGATTTTGAACATGAAATATACCAGGATCATGGTTAACGGACATGTATTATGCTAACATGTACATTTCAAAGTTGAAAGATCTTATAGTACTTGGTTTAACATTAACTCAATTGACAAAGGATTTCTAAACAGCAAATTTAAACATGTTTTGAACTTTTCCAGAAAGTCAAGACATGCAAAATGCATTCCAAAAGGCAGACAGACCAAACATTAAAGACCATTATCTTTCGCAAATAAATTCTGCAAATACAGCAAATGAAGAGACTATAGCATGAATTAGTATTTTCAAAGGTGCTGGAGGTCCAGAAGCCTGAGGTATCATTGATATTATTCTGGGTAAGACTTAAGAAATAAGAAAAGTCACGACTAGTTATATAAGGATAATGTTTTTAATCACAGAGGACAGGAGAATGCTTATATAAGATGGGTCAAAATCTCAAATTCCTAAAAATTACCTAAGTATTTAAAGATTTAGGAGCATTTGGGTGCTCCTGAGTTTCTCCTGTGCTTATGAACATTAATTATAAAAATCAGATAGGATTATATTGAGCAATTTTCATACCTATAAAATTATACCCAAGCTAAAGTACTAACAGAGTAATATTCTATTTTTGGTTAGACATTAGTCTTTCATATTCATTTATAGCTAACATTAAGTCTAAGAATTAAGAAATTTTACCATATTTATTCTTATAATAGCTACTATTAAAACATAGGGAAACAGTATTAAGTTAATTTTTACTGGCATTTCCTTTATTTAAAGAATCCAAAATGAGACCATATAATAGGAAATACTTCAAGATAACAAATTTTTACCACTTAACTAGGACACTATGTACATCAGATTCATACCTACGACAGTTGTGTAAACAATGGTACCTTACACACTGGTTTAAGTTTCTTCTGAACACACTAAGGTACATTCCTGACTAACATGTGTCATTCCTCTTGGGAAGGACATTAATAAGTGGTAACCTGACTTTGCATAAGGAAAGTTCTTACGGTACCATCATAGAACTAAAATTTTGAGTCCTGTCAGTTTTATACTCAACCCAGGGTGGAAATTTTTTCGTTTCAGAATATAAAATTTGGGAAAGAAGAGTCAAAGCATCTGTGTTTCTTTCACAGACAGAGCATTATAACTAGATTCATTCCTCAACGACCTTGAAATGTCTTTTTCCAGGAACTACGTGATGTGGAGTAAAGGTGTCCTACCTGGGCTGGGCAGCCCCTCAGGAGAGTTTGCTTCCAAAACACCGTCCGAAGGAACTGCACGTCCTGCCTGCAGGACTGGGAGACAGAAGCAGCACACCTTACAAACAAGTCACAGATGTAGCAATCCCTTAGTAGCTTAATTCATGTGCATGTAATTTGGGAAGAGATAGCCCTAACTTTGTTAGAAGCCATTTCACCATCCAGCTTTGAAGCAACTAAAATCGACTTAGTTCCCCCTTCCTACAGGGAGTCAATCCTGGAACGAGAGTGTCCTGAAGAGATTCACAGATGACCACACGCTCAATCTAAGGGTCAGGGAGCCATGCAATTTCTTTTTTTTATGTTGCATATTTTAAAAGGTAGTTAAGCAAGAATAATCAGGGGCTATCTAAATATTAAAATTAATTAAAAAGCCTTAGTGTAAGTATCGTCTTTTAGTAAGAAGACCTGATTTATAACCTCTATCACTTTACTGTCTGTCTAAAATAAGACCTAATGCACATGTAATGTTAATGGGAAAAGTCACGTTACCAGTGATGGGACTGTTGTCATCACTTTGATGCAGGGGTACTTTGGAGGGTGGGGAAGGCGCTTTTCGCTTTGTCCTCTTCAAAGATGAACTGCTGGCAGATGTGCTGCTGAGCTGCAGAGAGCCAGTCCTCACTATGCCTGCTCCACACGGGCTCTGGGAAACAAAACAACAAGACATGATCTCTGTTTAGAAATTAATAGTGAACTCCGGGAAGATCCTGACCTTTATATCGACTGCTTCATATGCCGAGATGCAACATAAGAGTCATTCCTTCAAAACACATTTAGGGAGCATCTGCCATGTGCCAGGAGCTGAACTAGGAGATGGAAACACAGCAAAATAAAATAGGGTCCTTCTCAAAAATCTTAGGCCCGGATGGAAGAATGGCATACGAATAACCAATTATCATGTGGAGGACTCATAAGCATAAGAGTGAAAAACTAGCTTTCAGAGAAAAATAGGGAGAAAATATGGATGTAGAGCAAGAGGCGAAAAGGGAAGAATGTACATTAGAACAGCTGGCTCGATTAATCTTTCCTTTTTAGTACTAATGTATTAATGACAAACATCTCAAAAATTTATATGTCTACCCACGGCAAGGTCACTTGAGGTCACCGACTCTCTCCAGAGCCAGCGCTCACACGCCTGGCATGTGACTGTCCGTGGACCTGCAGACAGGCCTGCCTCAGCGCCACCTGCTACCCCCTGGCGCACTGCCACATCGTCTCACTCTTTCTCTTTACGACTGACCTGCTTCCAAGAGCTGTTCATAGTTTTGTTTTGTTTTGTTTTGTTTTTGTCTCCAACTTCTCATCCCCGACAGGAACACTTCCAACCAGATATTTCCCAACTTTTGATCCAGTAAAATTATTCCTATCAAAGCCATCAATGATCACCACAACTAAACTAGTGGTTAATTCTTAGAGCTCATTTATTTGATCTGTCTATAGCACTCGACAGAATAGGCCACCCTCTCACAATTCTCTTTTTCTTACTTCCAGATTACCACATTCCTACTCTGCACAGATCTCAATGCTCCATTTTCTTTTAGGGTTCCTTCTCATCTCAGTCCTTGGGTACACTCTCTTCAGTATCTATGTTCACTCGGTTGGTAATCTCCTTTATTCCCTTGGATTTATGTATTATTCATACGCCAATTAATTTCAAACTTGTGCCTCCATCCTGGACCCTTATCTGATCTCCACTTAATATACCCAGACCTAATCCAGCAAGGAAAGACTTAAAGCCTGCCACCCAAACCCAGATTGATTCAGTCCCTAGAGCCAATTCTGATTAAACCTAAGGGCCATCCCTCACCCCCTACCCCCTCCAGAGTGGATGTGGACACAGATCCTTAATTGCCATTTGGACTTTTGAAACAATCAGAAGAAGGACTCTTGGCAATAAAAGTCTGAGAAAGAAACGCACTATAACATACAGCTGGATGAGCAGTATTTAATTATCCTTTTGAGTAAAATATAAAGTTTTCTTCTTATTGATTAATGATATATCCCTGTGCTTGGAAACTTTCATTTGCTATCTTATAAAATTAACAAGTTGAGAAGTCATTAGGAAAAAGGCCAAAAATTCTTCTTAAACAATGCAACACTTCACTTTTCAAAATGATGATATAACTATCAAAAGCTGTAGAATATGTCATTTTATTTCTCAGGTGAATTTACTCTATAAAGCCCTATCAAGACACGACTCCTTTCTCTCACAGACCTACTTTACCGGTAAGAACACAGTTAGTGATCAATAAGTAACTGCTGAATGCACAAATTTGGGGCAGTGCTTGATTTTCCTCCTACATCCACACTGAAAACTTGGGTCCCATGCTTCGACTGATTTCTTTCATGAGGTTTAGGATGCAAACCTGTGTTCCTCTTCAAGCCAGATTCTCAATTATTGTCATTTATTGGTCTTTTCTATTACCTGATAAAAGCAATCATGACTTGAATTAGTCACGAATTTTTCAAATGACCGTATCTTTGTACGAGTTAGAGCTCTTAAATTTTGGTCATAATAAAACATACTGTATAGAAACTAGAAGGGTGGAATTTATATGGCAGACTCCAAAGTTTATATGAACCTATCCATAACTCAAAGACAAAATAAAAATAGACTCACATATTTCACTTATGTCCCCAGAGGTCTTAAAAGAAGCTAACTTTTATTTTTGTACAGGATATTTGTATTTCTATGGATAAAGAATTTAAAATTTGTCAAAATATACTTTAGTTTTACTAAAACATTTTCAATAGCATTTATGAAGACAGCTGAGGGAAAAGCAGAGCAAAGACATGAACTTTTTGAAGGAGGACATCTTTTATAAGTTTATCCTACAAAATTTAACTCCCTTGATCCTGTTGTGCAGGTATAACATGAAAACAAATGGACATACACTATAGAGCTGCAATGGAACCCCAGAGACCAGGAAGGAAGACATTAAGATAGCATGACTGTCACTGAGTGGTACCAGAAAGATGCACGTGACCTGTCATAACTAGATTCCATGCTATAATTAATGGTTAAGACTTACTAAGTTTATGACAAAAGTGTAAATTTAACAACTTATGTAGGATAGGCAAAGGGCAGAAGTTTTCAGGGAATATGAATGATCAGTTTAGATAATCAGCTAAGAAGGAAAGGTAAGGTAAATAAAAATCAAAGTTGGGAGTTATTTTGTATTAAAACAAAACATCACTATTAAGACCAAAGTAGAGGAGACCCTGGACCATGAGAAAGGGATGTCCTAGGGCACCTGGGTGGCTCAGTCGGTTAAACCTCTGCCTTCGGCTCAGGTCGTGATCCCAGGATCCTGGGATCAAACCCCACATCAGGCTCCCTGCTCAGCGGGGAGCCTGCTTCTCCCCCTCCCTTTGCTTCTCCCCCTACTTTTTGTGCTCCCTCTCCTCTGTCTCCCTCTGTGTCAAATAAATAAGATATTAAAAAAAAAAAAAAAGGAGGGAGAGAGAAAGGGATGTTCTATATCTACTGCAAACAGTCTTTTCTTGAGTAAAAGCCCACAGGAAAAGAAGAAGCATTCGAGTTAGAAGATCTAGGTGTTCCTAAATAGACCGTAACCGAGAAAAGTGGTGTATACTGAAGAATGTGGGTGCAGTACATGCAGCCAGCATATAAGAGTAGAGAGCTCCTAACCCAAGAAGGACAACTTCTAGAAAGCAGATTCACTAAACCGCCACAGCTGCTTAAGTAAACACATCATGAGTTCCCATACAAAATGCTACGGCAAGGAAAGCAAAAATGAACTATATGGACTTCATCAAGATAAAAGCCTTCTGCACAGCAAAGGAAACAATCAACAAAACCAAAAGGTAACCTACAGAAAGCGAAAAGATATTTACAAATGACATATCTGATAAAGGGTTAGTATCCAAAATCTATGAAGAACTTATCAAGCTCAACACCCCAAAAAACAAATAATGCAGTTAAGAAATGGGCAAAGGAACGCCTGGGTGGATCAGTTAAGTGTCTGCCTTTGGTTCGGGTCATGATCTCAGGGTTCTGGGATTGAGCCCTGCAACAGTCTCCATGTTCAGTGGGGAGCCTGCTTCTCCCTCTGCCCCTCTCCTTGCTCATGCTTTCTCTCTCTCTCTCTCTCTCTATATATATATATCTCTGACAAATAATTAAACAAAATCTTTGAAAAAAGAAATGGGAAGAAGATATGAATAGACATTTTTCCAAAGAAGGCATCCAGATGGCCAATAGACATGAAAAGATGCTCAATATCACTCATCATCAGGGAAATGCAAATCAAAACCACAATGAGATGGGTCAGAATGGCTAAAGTCAACATCACGGGGAACTGATGTTGGCGAGGATGCAGAGGAAGGGGAACACTCTTATGCTGTTGGTGGGAATGCAAGCTGGTGCAGCCACTCTGGGAAACAGTATGGATGGTCCTCAAAAAGTTACAAATAGAGCTACCCTATGACCCAGGAATTGCACTACTAGATATATACCCAAAGGATACAAAAATACCAGCTCAAAGGGGCACATGCACCCTGATGTCAATAGCATTATCAACGAAGCCAAATCATGTTAAAAGCCCAAGTGTCCATCAACTGAGGGATGGATAAAGAAGATGTGGTGTGTGTGTGTGTGTGTGTGTGTGTGTGTGTGTGTGTACAATGGAATTAAATTACCATTAGCCATAAAATTTAAATTAGCCATAAAAAAGAATGGAATTTTGCCATTTGTAATGATGTGGATGTGGATGGAGCTAGAGGGTATTCTGCTAAGCAAAATAAGTCAGTCAGAGAAAGACAATACCATATGATCTCACTCATATGTAGAATTGAAGAAAAAGAATAGATGAACACAGGGGAAAGAAAAAAGAGAGGGAGGCAAAAAAGACTTTTTTTAAAAAAGATGTTATTTATTTGATAGAGCACAAGCAGGGGGTGGGGTGTGTAGGGGCAGAGGGAGAGGGAGAAGCAGAGAGCCTGACTCAGGGCTTGATCCCAAGACCCCGGCCAGGATCATGCCTG